GTGCTCCATGTTCCGATGTGCAGACAACTTCGTGAACTACCGTGAGCGTGGCGGTTGGGTGAAGGGGATCGGAGGCGGCAAGGCCCCCTTTCCTCTTCTAGGATACGGAGATGTGACCTTAGTCCTACAGACGGAAGATGGTGGAGTACCCGTACCAGTACTGAATGCTGCCCATGTACCAGAAGCCCCCTACAACCTCCTCTCGCTGTCTTGGTTGGCGGAGGAGGGCCACACGTATTCGGGGATGAAAGGGGCCTCACGCTGACCACGAAAGCCGGGGGGGAGTTGTGGTTCCCCCGGACTGGAAAGCTGCTGACCCAACGAGGCTATCAAATAAAGCCAACGCTACACACCGCCTGTGCCGCACTCATTGTTCCTGGCGATGCGAAAGCAGCCAACCCCACTGACCTCAACGAGTACCACCTCGCGCACGGCCATGCCCACGAGACATTGCTCAGGATCACGGCGGAGCAGCAGGGAGTGCAGCTGACGGATGGACCGCTGCTACCCTGTCTTGGCTGTTCGATGTCCAAGGGACAGGTGAAACCCGTCCAGAAGAGCACGAGCACACGCGCAGTTAAAAAGTTATTTCGCGTGTATCTCGACTTGGAGGGAAAGATGAAAACCAGGAGCATTGGTGGCAACTGGTACACACTGATCATCAGAGACGATTTCTCCCGTTGGACGCGTGTTTTCTTCTTGAAACACAAGTCTGACGCAGCGGTTGGGTTTGAGAAGTTCCTGGCGGACTACCGAACGAAAGGGGTTCCGTGTGAGGTTTATATCGCACGTACCGACGGTGGCGGCGAGTTCCAGGGGCAGTTTGCGGAAGTTTGCCGCAGACACGGCATCAAACAAGAGTTCACCCCCCCTCACACCCCAAAATACAACGGTCTAGCGGAGAGAGTGCTAGGGTTGATCACTGATACCGCGCTTGCGTCACACATCCAAGCGACGCAACTGTTCCCCGACGCACCGACCCACCCCGGGTTGTGGGCCGAGGCCATTTCGTGTGCATGCCATCAGCTGAACTGTACCGCCACTAAATCAAACGGGGGAGACAAATCCTCCTACGAGGTATTCCGCGACTCCCCACCGCCTGTCAGGTCACCATATCCGTTTCTCAAACCAGCCGTGTTAAAGTCTAGAAGAAAAGCAAAGTCGCAACCCAAGGGCGGAAACGGATGGTACCTTGGTCCTGCCCACAGTCACCCCCGTGACTGCGTTCGCATGCTAACCGAAGCTGGAACCGTAATCACCACCCGCAATTTCACCTGGCGCCACGTGCCCGCTGCATCGCCCGCTCCCCCGCAGCTGCTACCTCTCGCAGATGACGAGGAGGGCGGGGAGGGCGAGAGCAGAGCGGATGCATCACGCCAAGGTTGGGGGGGGGAGAGAGACTCAGAGAGTGAGTCCGACCTCGACGTGATGGAGGCTCGTGGGCCAGGGCAAGCGACGCCGTTTGTGCGCGAGGAGGCGCCGACGGCACCCGGCAACGGGATTCCGGGGGACGGAGGCAGCGTTCCCCCGTCGCCCCCTTCGGAAAGGGGCGACTTCGGCGAAGGCAGTGACAGCCCCACCGACAGCAGCAGCAGCAGCAGCAGCAGCAGCAGCAGCAGCAGCAGCAGCAGCCCGAGCAGCAGCAGCAGTGACGCCGGCGGTGCCGGCGGCCCGGGCGGCGAAGAGTCCGGCGACCCAGGTGGGGACGGCGGTAGCGATGGTGATCCCGGCGACTCCGAGAACCTCGAGGAGTTGAAGTATGATCCAGCCGACGACCGCTACCCCCGCGGGCTAGAAGGGAAGAAAATCCTCTAGGGCGCCTCAAACGCTGGCCCGCTGCGCCAGGGCTTGAGAGTGGCCGCACGCGAAAGCAGACCCGGGAGATGCAAGGTGCCGGGGAGATGCCGGAGCCCGGACAAACACCGGACCCGGAAGAGGCACTGCTGGCGACCATCCTGGAAACTAGCGGGACGGGGATTGTTGAGGACTACATCTGCAACTCGCTTGTGAAGGAGCAGTGGGACGAGGAGCAGACACGCCGTATGGAGGAGATGTACAGGCGCGAGATGCAGGAGGTGTTGGGCCCGAAACAGCAGGCGTTCGGGGCCGAGGTCGACGCCAGTGGGTCTTCGCAACCACTCCCAGACCCACAGCGAAGTATGACCTCGCCAATCGGGCAGAAGCCGAGTGATGTGGAAGCAGTACCGATGACGTACAAGGATGTGATGTGTTCCAAGTACAAGGTTTTCTGGCAGGCGGCTATGAAGAAAGAGATAGATGGGCACGGCAAGACTGGAACCTTAGCCAAGGTCAAGGAGCTGCCCGAGGAGCGGAAGGCCATAGGTTCAAAGTGGTTGTTCTCTTGGAAGAAGAATGAGAAGGGCCTGATAGTCGACTTCAAGGCCCGTATGGTTGCGCGGGGTTTCTCTCGAATTCCCGGCATCCACTTCCACCACTCATCCTCAGCGTGCCCGTCTGCAGCGTCTATCAAGACGGTGATTGCCGTAGCCACTGAAAAGGGCAAGAAACTCGCTCACTGGGATGTGAAGCAAGCGTACATCCACGCTAAGCTAAAAGAAGAAATATACCTCAGGTTCCCGGAAGGCTGTGGTAGCATGTCCGGCAAGGTGGTCAAGGTTGAGCGTGCCCTGTATGGCCTCAAGCAGAGGGGCCGTGAGTGGGGGGTTGACGCTGCCGATGCCGTCATCGAGAATGGATACGAGCAGTGCAGGGTTGACCCGTGGGTCTTCCGGAAGGTGGTTGATAGATAGGTCGTAGGTCTCATCGTGATCTACGTCGACGACATCTTCGTGGCGGCAGACGAGGGAGAGCGAGAGGTGCTGTTCGCTTCCCTCAACAAGAAGTTTCCGGTGAAAGATCTGGGGGAGTGTACCTGGTACGACGGGTGTGCTATCGCCATGGATGTAGAAAATGGCATCACCAAGCTGTCCCAGACAGCATACATTGAGAGTATGCTGAAGCGGTTTGATGTGACCACGACCGCTTTCACCCCTGCTGCCACCGATGCCGACCTAGGGCCGGAGAGAGATGACGATCCCGCGGTGGATAAGCCTGTGAGGGAGGCGATCGGATGCCTGATGTGGACGAAGCTGACGAGGCCAGACATCGCCCTGCCTCTGAACAAGCTCCAGAAGATCGCCCACTCACCCACCGGGAGGATATGGAACGCGCTTGTGCGGATCATGTCCTACCTGAACTTCACGAAGGACTTCGGCATCACCTACGCACGGGGGTCAGGACTAGACCTAAGTGTGTTTGTCGATGCCAGCTACGATGACAACGAAGTAGACAGGCGTTCTACGACCGGGCTAGCTGTGACCGTAGGTGGTACCGTAGTGTGTGCATCCACCAAGACGCAGCTAGTGACGGCTCAGTCGACCTCGGAAGCAAGGTATATGGCAGCCGGGGAGGGCGTGAAGGAGGCGTTGTTTGTGCGTGGCGTTCTGTCGTTCATAGCGCCCGAGACGAGTGGGGCGAAGATCAAGGTCCTTGAGGACAACAAGGGGGCTCTCGCCTTAATCGAGAACCCGTTCAGCTCAGCGAGGAGCAAGCACATCGACGTGCGGTTCCATTTCATTCGCGAGCTATTCAAGTCGGGCAAGATCACTGCAGAGTATGTTCCGACTGGAGAGCAGCACGCCGACATGCTGACCAAGGTCCTTGGCAGAGAGAAGTTAGAGTACCACCGGAAGGCTCTGATGAACCTACCGATGTAGTGTTCTCTTGTTCTGTTTGGTTTATGTGGTGGTTTTAGCACTTGGCATATATGACCATGGTACGTCACGCAGGAAGCGTTGTGCCGGCGCGTCACCCGCGGCGTTGCTTCGGGCGTGTATTCAGCGTGGCCAGTTCAATCTGTCCTTCCTTGGTCTTGTCTTGGAAGTGCGGCCGTTAGAATCCTCCGTGATAGCGACGATTTCTACATTTAGGGTGTTAGACGAGGGTTTTTGATCCAGTTGGCCGGGTTTTCCCTCTAGCCTGTTGTTGTTTTGAGTCCCTTTGGTACATCACATCAGGGGTATCCATGCCCCACGTTAGGTTTGCCATTCGCGTGCAAACCGGGGAGGATGTTCGTGTGTTTGGATACGGACTGGTTAGATCTACCGGCAACAACAGAGGGCACGCAGATGGGGCATATGTACACCTTGAAATGGTTGCATGTGCGGGGACCCCTCGAACTCCAACGAGGGCTTCACTTCTCCCTATTCCCCTTGCGTGTCTAATACAAGAGATAAACGTCTTCCCCTTCCAAATAAAGGACATGTACGAACACATACCATCCTCGTCAAGGTGTGGAATGGAGGAGATATTCCGCGAGAGTGGAAGGATGCAACCATCAAGGTGCTGTACAAGGAGGGTGACCGGTCCAATTGTAACAACTACAGGGGGATTTCGCTACTGTCTCACGTAGGCAAGGTCCTCATCAAGATCATTACCAACCGTCTACGCGCCTTCTGCAAAGCCAACATCCTCCCGGAGGAACAGCGCGGATTTCGACCCTGGCGATCCACCGTCGACATGCTGTTCGTCGTGCGCCGCCTCCAGGAGCTGGGGCGGAGAAAGAAAATACCGCTCTACATGTGCTTCGTCGACTTGAACAAGGCGTATGATTTCGGTGGACCGAGAGATGCTATGGAAGGTGCTGGCCAGGGCCGGGATTCCCGCGAAGCTGATCGAAGTCATCCGCCAATTCCACGATGGAATGCGGGCCCGGGTGTCTGTGGACGACGGAGAACTATCGGACTGGTTCTTCGTGACACA